GAGGATCTATCTTTTGGGGGGGGGGAATGGCACGCGTAAAAAAAACATCGGTTTCCTGGATCGATGATCGGGGAATCGCAACGGGTTGAATACTTTCCGCGGCTCGCAATTAAGGGAGATACGGTCGCAATTAGCCGCGAGGGTGTTCGCCACGCGTCGCACGTCCTCGTTTAATCCGTTTAACCCGGAACGCCGTTGTGCGTCAGTCTGCATTTCAAATTAAATTACACTCGAAACTGCACGCCGCGCGGGGGAGACCCCCTTGCCGAGTTCTCTCGTCCGCCCCCATCGAAGGAAGAAGGGTGCGCGAAAAATCGAGGTTGATCCACGTTACGCGCTTCGTGTATCGTTCTTTTTTCTCTTTTTTCATTAATTTCGTCCATTTCGAGAGTTGCGATCGGGAGGACGCATCTACTCGATTCGAGTAGATTTACGATTTACTTTGGTGAGACGGAAAGATTCGCAAATTTATTATATTTGTTTATTTTTTGTTAAACGTAAAGAGTTGTTAGAAAGATACACAGTCTGGGATTATATTATAGAGAAACTGTTGTACTCCCGCGTGATGAAACGCGTAGAGATCGTGAATCAATGGTAACGAAGGCAATTCTAAAGTAATACGGCGAACCCTTTCCCGCAAACGAAGCCAACTGGAGCAAAACCTTTGCACTTGAACGGAAACGCCTCTCGTTCTCCGACAATCGTACCACGACGCAGAAATATCCCGTTCAATTACTCTCGTTTCAACGAAATTGCGAAACCTGTAATATTCTTAAAAAATTAAAATTATTATCTCCCTTCCTCGGATATATCTGTTCCTACGATCGATCGGTCAAAAATTCGAACCAACACCTTCGTTTCGTATTATCATTACGCGAGTAATAAATTTACGTGGAGCGGGGTGCAAAAGGAATTCGCAAATCGTATAATTTTCCTGATCCCGACCGTTTTGTTACCCCGTGTTAATTCCACTTGATCGGTTAATCTCGATGCCCGCCCCCTCCTTCGTTGCGCGACTAAAACCGTAAAAGCGGTGGAGGAGCGCGGGGGCGGAGAAACGAGTGGACAAAGTCCGCGATTCGCGGAGCAAAGGTAGGCGCGAAGGCCCTTAAGCCTCAATTTCGAGGGCGTGTAAATCCTCGGGGTAATGGTCGCGCGCAATATACGCCTAATGCGTATTATACCGTCGCGTACGGGTTATCTCAATTTGCAGCCAATGCCCCCCTCCTCCCTCGTCCTTTATTCGCCTTTATTCCTTCGAAATCTCCAAATCATCTTTTTCTCTCTTTTGCGCTTCCTTCCCCTCGGCTTCGCTCCTCCGGTCGCCTTCCAGCACAGTTGTAGTTTTTAAGCGGCGATTTCTCCGCAAAAATGTGTGCGCAGTACTCGAGAAAGATCGTCAGCGGCCGCGTTTGCGCCTCGCTGCAACTCGAGTTTATTGGGGGAAAAAAATTTTCTCGAAACGGGGTGAAACTTGAAACTTTAAAACTTTTAAAAGTCACATTTAATTATACTTTAGAATAACATTATAGATTATAACAATACGATATAATTGTGTGATAATAATAACTGTTGATAATGGTATTCGCTTCTCCTGTCACTTTTTGAACGTACGACATAAATGGTTCTTTCGTTTTGTATTTTCATTTGTGTAAAGTGAAGGAAAGCGTTTTCCAGTAAGACGAAGTGGATTGGTTTGTCCCGATTTATTATGTTATTGTTATTTCTTTGCAGATATAATAATTTAAACGCGAACACTGCAATACACGGCATCTTATGCAGAGGAGCGGACATATTACTTTAATGGCGTTTTATGTGGAGCGACTATAGTCGCCCGTAGTATATCAGTGGCATTTTATGCAGAGCGACTTTAGTCTCCCGTCAGTGATATCTTATGCAGAGTGACTATAGTCGCTCAACGTAGTATATCAATGATATTTTATGTAGAGAGACTATAATAGATTTTCGATCGCCCGTAGTACGTCAGTGACATCTTATGCAGAGCGATTTTAGTATATCAATGATATAATATAATATATCAATAATATTTTATGTAGATTATAATAGATTTTAGTCGCCCGTAATACGTCATCTTATGCAGAGTATATATAATCGTTCATAGTATATTAGTAACATTTAATACATAACATTTAATATAGTCGCCCATAGTATATTATTTTATATATTATCTTATGCAGAGCGACTATAATCGGCCATAGCATATCAATGGCATTTTCGTCGCCCATCAGTGACATCTTATATAGACCAACTATAGTCTCTCATATTATATCAGTGGCATTTTACGGATAGTAAAATATTATATTAGAGATTATAGTCGCCTATAGTATATCAGTGACGTCTTATGTAGAGCGACTATAGTCACCTATAGAATACCAATGGCATTTTATGCAGACCGACTATAGTTGCCCATAATCTATCAATGGCATTTTATATAGAATAATTTTAGTATGTCATCTTATGCAGAACGACTATAGTCGTCTATAGTATATCAGTGACATTTTTGTCGTCCGTCAGTGGCATCTTACGTAGAGTGACTTAGTATATCAATAGCATTTTATGGAGAGTGACTATAGTCGCCCATAGTACATCATCTTATGCAGAACGACTATAGTATATCAGTGGTATTTTATAAAGAGCGACTATAATCGGCCATAGCGTATCAATGGCATTTTACGGAGAGCGACTATAGTCACCTATAATATATCAGTGACATCTTATATAAAGCAACTATAGTCGGTCAGAGTATATTAATGGCATTTTATGGAGAGGGACTATAGTCGCTCATAGTATATCAGTGGCATTTTATGGACTATAATCGGCCATAGTGTATCAGTCGCTCGTCTAGCATCTTATATAAAGCAACTATAGTCGATCAAAGTATATTAATGGCATTTTATGGAGAGCGACTATAATCGCCCATAGCTTATCGGTGACATTTTAGTCGCCCGTAGAACAATAGTGGCATCTTATGCAGAGCGACTATAGTCGCTCATAGTATATCAGTGGCATTTTATAGACTATAATCGGCCATAGTGTATCAGTCGCTCGTCTGGCATTTTACATAGAGCGACTATAGTCGTTCATAGTATATCATTGGCATTTTACGGAGAGCGACTATAATCGTCTAGTGACATCTTATATAAAGCAACTATAATCGTCCGTATAACAATAGTGGCATTTTATAGACTATAATCGGCCATAGTGTATCAGTCGCTCATCTGGCATTTTACATAGAGCGACTATAGTCGTTCATAGTATATCATTGGCATTTTACGGAGAGCGACTATAATCGTCTAGAGACATCTTATATAAAGCAACTATAATCGTCCGTATAACAATAGTGGCATTTTATAGACTATAATCGGCCATAGTGTATCAGTCGCTCGTCTGGCATCTTACGTAGAGCGACTATAGTCGTTCATAGTATATCATTGGCATTTTACGGAGAGTGACTATAATCGTCTATAATATATTAGTGACATCTTATATAAAGCAACTATAATCGCTCATAATATATCAGTGGCATTTTACGGAGAGCGACTATAATCGACCATAAAAACGAAAGCGTTAATCATCCCCTTTGTCGCCGCGATGATTATCGCGCTATAAACGGAACCGGAGAGTCGTATTTCTCTCCTCCCCCTCCCAAGAATCGTGTTTCCAGGAAAATGGAATCGTATAGGTGGCGATCGCAAGAGATCACCATACGTATCCGTTTTGAGAGGAAGGAAAGAGGAGAGGAAGGAAAATCAAGGGATTAATGGAATTAATGTTTTCAGAGCGAGGAGTCGCTTTCCTCGGAAGGGTCGGCCACCTCGGGTGGATCTTCGAGCTCGACGGAAGATTCTGGCAGCGAGGTCGCGTGCGACATCACTCTGATCGAGAGGCTTATACGCTCCCATCCGATCTGGTTCCTTCCTGGCATCCAAAGAGCAGGAGCTTTCCACTTGTTGCAAGGCAAAGAGGAAGGGGTGAGTGCACTTGAGCGAATCGATTAGGCGTAAGAAAATTGCAACCCGATCGAAGCCCTTCTTCTTCCCTCTTTCCCTTCCCCTCTCGTCTCGATCAACCGACAAGTTTCCCGCCAAAGCACGGTCGGATTAAAAGCGTATCGCCTCCTCCTCCATTTTTCCACGAGGCAGAAACAGACAGAAAGAGGGAGAGAATTTCGCTTAAAAGCTGCTGCTTCTTCCGAACGAAAAATATCGACGAGTTTTTCTCCGATTATCGTTCTTTTACTTTACCAATCCGAACGGATCCCCGTGTCTAGACTCTGGATTATTTATCCCGTGTTACAATGGGCGAGATTATCGGAAAATTTATAACTCGTCGTCGTGGCGATGGACTTTCGCCTCGGTGAACAACCGAGGAAAGAAGCCTGATACGGTTCTGGAAGAAGGGAAAGCTCGATCGAGAACAAAGAGAGACGAAATATCGCGCAACCGATTGTCCGCTTGATCGCGCCGGGAAAAACTACCCCTCGGAGGCTTGCGGAGGCTTTGATCACTCGCTGATTCCGCGAATATTTTCGCCTCCCGTATTGTTAGCCGAAATGAATGAATGGCGCTCCTTTTATTCGCCAACACAATTCATCGAGTATTTTCCCCGTTCAACGCGGGGGATCATCCGTTGATCATCCGCGATTCAATAAAAGTGGGATTTTTTTCCTCTCCACCAGAAGATCTATCTATTTATCTGTCTCCTTTCCACCCAAGGATTTGAAATTTATCTATCTTCTTTTTCCCTTTAAGCGAACTTAATCGCTCGCCTTCGCTTTCTTCGAACGTTCGCGAGAACGAAAACCGCGACTAGCCAACTCGTTACTCGGCCTGAGAAAGAGGGGTAGATTTTTGCGGGATCAGCCTTGGCCCGAGCGTCTGCGAACGCATCGACCGTTTGGCAGTCGCCGTTGCACCCGCCGTGGCTTAATATGCGGTAAATGCAAACGGCAGACATGCCGTTGCCCCGACGAAATACGACCGCCCTAAGCTTCTGGCGGCGTTCCAACCCGCGCTCTGCCAGAAAATACGCATAACAAGTGGCATTGTTGGCGCGCCTCGCTACAACGGGGTTGCGCCCGCTTCTCTCGCGCGACGCGCTCTCTCCCCCGGCCATTTCCGCGCTAAACGCGGGAGGAAGGGGGCGAAAGCATTTGTCACGATTCGCGCGACAAAGTGGCTGATCTTTGCTCCTCGCGGAACAGCCGTAGGCCATCTAAGGCTCCGATGAGTAGAAGCTCGCCGCTTCTTCAACCGATTATCGAATTGTCAAATTCTTTCTGCGAATAATTTCCTCGTTTCTATCGAGAAATGTGTGCAAATAATATATAGAAATTTAGAAAAGTCGTAAAATGAACCGATTATCGAATTGTGGAATTTGGTCCATGACGAATTAAATAATTTCCTCATCTTTGTCGATGATCGAGAAACGTTCTACGTGTGTACAAATAATATATGTAGAAATTTGTAAAAGTAAAATGAATTGACTATAGAATTTTTGTCGCGAATTCGAAATAATTTTCTCATCTCTGTCGACGATTAAGAAACGTTTGACGTGTATAGAAATAATATATATGTAGAAATTTAAAAAAGTCTTAAAATGAATCGATTACTAAATTGTAGAATTTTTGTCACGAAACAATTTTCTTGTCGATAATCGAGACGTTCTATGTGTGTACAAATAATATATTATATGTAGAAATTTATAAAAGTCAAGCAAATTGAATCGATTATCAGATTGTGGAATTCTTGTCTCGAAACAATTTTCGAAACAATATATAGAAATTTGTATAAAAGTCGTAAAATGAACCGATTATCGAATTCTGTCCATCACGAATTCGAAATTTCCTCGTCTTTGTCGACAATCGAAAAGCGTTCTATATATGTACAAATAATATAGAAATAGAAATTTATAAAATTATTATATTATTATTATTATTATATTTTATATAAAAGTCTTAAAATGAATCGATTATTAAATTGTAGAATTTTTGTCACGAAACAATTTTCTTGTCGACAATCGAGACATTCTATGTGAGTACAAATAATATACTATACGTAGAAATTTATAAAAGTCGCAAATTAAATCGATTATCGAATTGTGGAATTATATTGTCTCGAAACAAATGTAGAAAAAATTTGTATAAAAGTTGTAAAATGAACCGATTATGAATTCTGTCCATTACGAATTCGAAACAATTTCCTCGTTTCTGTCGACAATCGAGAAGCGTTCTATATATATACAAATAATATAGAAATAGAAATTTATAAAAGTCTTAAAATGAATCGATTACTAAATTGTAGAATTCTTGTTGCGAAACAATTTTCTCGTCGACAATCGAGACATTCTATGTGTGTACAAATAATATACTATATGTAGAAATTTATAAAAGTCGCAAATTGAATCGATTATCGAATTGTGAAATTCTCATTGCGAATTCGAAACAATTTTCTCTGTCGATCAAGATGTTCTACATAAATATATACAAATAATATATATGTAGAAATTTATAAAAGTCTTAAAATGAATCGATTACTAAATTGTAGAATTCTTGTCGCGAATTCGAAATAATTTTCTCGTCTCTGTCGACGATTAAGATGTTCTACGTATGTACAAATAATATATATATATATATAAATTTATAAAAATTTTTAAAATGAATCGATTATGAAACGTTTCTCATTTCTGTCGACGATCGAGAAACGTTTAACGTGTATATAAATAATATATAAGTAGAAAATCGTAAAATGAATTGATTATCGAATTATGGAATTCTTGTCTCGAAACAATTTTCGAAACAGTATATAGAAATTTATAAAAGTCGTAAAATGAACCGATTATCGAATTGTGAAATTCTCCTTGCAAATTCGAAACAATTTTCTCGTCTCTGTCGACGATTAAGAAACGTGTATACAAATAATATATATGTAGAAATTTAAAAAAGTCTTAAAATGAATCGATTACTAAATTGTACAATTCTTGTCGCGCATTCGAAACAATTTTTTTTGTCGATGATCGAGAAGCGTTTAACGTGTACACAAATAATATATATGCAAAAAAATTTGTAAAACGGATTGAATCAAAGTTACGAGATATAGAGATTCGATGATATTAAAATTTATATCTACCTACAATTGTTGTTATCTTACGATTAAATCTCGAACGACGCGCGATCACGGATCGATCGTTAGATTCTCATACTGTACATGAAAATGCATAAGAAATAATTTTAATCGCGAATTTCGACTTTGTTCCTGCGATAAAATAAAAAATTTCACTGGACGCGCACTCGGGCCGCGAGATAACGCTAGATAACGTTAGAACAATGTCGTTTATATTCATAAACGTCGACACAGTTTTCCATCCGAGTCTTCAGCCAGCTGGACTCCCGTTCTTCCGGTCGTGTCAGATAACAACCGATCAAACTTCTCCATCTACGCAACTCCGTACTCGCTTTCCACTTCCCGCCGCGGGCCATTGTTTCCACACGACGTTTTGTTATCGTCTCCGTTGGCCGGCCGGGAACAATCGAGACGAGTGGAGCGTTATCTGTCAGGCGAAATTCGCGGGGAGAAATGTTGCCGATCTTGGAAATAGAAAATGGCCGAAATTTCATTATCAACTCTAGGAAAATTTCTAACGAAACGAAAAATATTTGTCTTCGAACGAATGGAAGTCGCGATTCTCGGAGAACGCGCGAATAGAAAGTCGAAAGTGTTATAACGTGGAGTAATAAAATTCGAATTACACGGCGGAAACGGTGTCGAGAAGGAGGGGAAAAGCACTCTAGGAACGGGATCGAGACTAGACCTTTGCGAGGTCGAGATCCTCTTTAGAATTATATCAAGATGGAATTGAGGTTTCCTCGTGATAAAGCCCCGTACGAAAGCAGGGTCAAGCCTTTCGTCTCGTGACTTTATGCTCGGAAACGAGATCAAGAATGGGTAAAGGCTCGTGAAAAAAAATTAAGGATCGGATGGGGTCAAGATGGAGGGGGAGTGCCTAATGACCGGAACGGCGATAAGGATCGCGAATGTGGAAAACGGCGAATCGAGATCGGGTCAAGTGGTCTGTTTCAACGTGGGATTCATCTTCGTCTCCTCTCCGAAACCTCGTCCCTCATCGTCGCTTCGATCGATTAAACTCTTCTCTCTCCGATCTTTCATCGTTAATTCGAACGTTTCGACTCAGCCGGATCGGAAACGACGGATGACGAAACGACGATGATGATGAGTCAAAATGAAGCCTGGAATGGACGTTTCGTAACGAGAAAAATGTCGTCCCGTATCCAGATACATTTTACAGGCAAAGCTTCGCGAGGGAGCGGTATTTTTTTCCATTCTCTTTCTCGCTGAATAACGGAAAACCGGGAGGGGTGGGGCGCGGAGCGATGTAATCAGC